CTCAGGAGTGTCCCCGTGTGTCCCCTAACACAGCCTCTGCTCTGTGCTTGGCAGGATGGCACCAGAGGTGATCCTTGCTATGGACGAGGGGCAGTACGATGGCAAGGTGGATGTTTGGTCTCTTGGGATCACATGCATCGAGTTAGGTGAGTGAACACCCAGCTGAGGTGGGGGATTAACTCTGCAGTGTGTTAGCAACTCCTGCAAATAGGGAAGATCCTTACTCCTCATCAGTTTTCCCCTTTAAAATGCCTGGCTTGGAGCACCTTGACAGTTGAGTTTAGTCTTTTTCTGCTGGCAAATCAAGAGCAAGCCACTAATGCACTGTGCTTTCATGTTAGTCTGGTGTGCTCAGTTATTCCCTGGAGAGCCAGAGCATTTTGCTCTTGAGTGAGAGGAATCCAGGGTTTGTCATCTGTGTTTTCCAAGGTGCACTCTGAGAAAGTCGTCCCAGCTGTTGTGGCAAGGGAGCTGGTGTCCTAAGGATTGTGTGTCAGAAGGGACCTACATTTAATTTTCAATTCTTCTTACTTCCCTACTTTCTGAAACAAAAATCTTCAGTCCCAGCTGAAAAGTTTGTGCCATGAATCATCGTGGACAGGTTCCTTATGGGAAGAGAAGAAAAGGGTTTGCACTTCAGAGGGCAAAAGATACACATCCACAGAGCCTGGAGCAGAGGTGGATGTGATGGCAGGTACACAGAGTAGACTCCAAGCGTGTGTTTCAAGTTTGAATATTGACATTGCATGTGCTGAGTAGATTATCTTCAAAAATCAGTGTTGATATGGGTTCTACTTACCAGCAGTACACCAATAACTTATTGTGTGGGTGAGTTCACTGAAAATGTCATTGATGAATGTTTAATCAGCAGAAATGTGTGAGATAACAAAGAGGGGGATGTGCAGAAGTGCTGTCTCCAGAACTGAGATGGTGTAGATAACCAGTAACTAACATGGCTGTATTTCATGTGCCAGCATGCTGACACAGTCTGTATTTTGACATAAAGAATGCCAGAATTGGAAGTTTCAGGCTTCTGTTGTTGTGCATGGCCAATGATTTTTGTTTGTGCGGAGTTCAGGTGTGTCACAGCCTCTCCAGGAGTAAATAACAGTAGGAGAGACTGTGCAACCCTATGTAGACACAGTCTCGGTACCAGAATTTCTGTGGACCTTTTTGCTCAGGAACCTCAAAGATGATGATTTGCTTTCCTTAAAAATACCCCCTTTTGAGAAGCATTAAACTTCCATAAACATCGAACTTTGCCTTTGCATGATTCCCTGTCTGAGCACGAGGTCAGGCAGCAGTGGGAGGAGATCTCTTGTTGAGCAGCATTTGGCTTTCTTTGAATGCTGATATCTTAATTCCTCGTGCAGCTGAAGTCAGTAGTGATTAAGGAAAAGCAGAAGTGGTGGTTTTTCAACATGAAAGAGCTGGGAAACCCTGGCACCACCAGCCCTGGGGAGAACCAGCCTCCCCCAGCACTGAGAGCTCTGCCCTCCTGAGAGGCCAGGGCTGCTGGGCAGCTGCTCTGTGACTGCAAGGGCTGGGAAGGGTTTCAGGGAGAGGAGGTCATGGCACATCTGGCAAGTGAGTTGGGTAACCTGTCCCACTTGCAGTGACAAACGAGGCAGGCAGCCACTTTTTCCTGTAACCCACATGTTCCAGCAGTGCCTCAAAGATCTGCAGGGACTGATACAGCATGTCCTGGTCCTGAACTGTGCCTAAGATTAGTTTTACTCAGCTTCAGCTGATTGTGCCACAGCAGATCGGGTGTGAGATGTTGCAGTTAAAGTAAAATGTACTCCAAATCTTTATAATTTGTATCCCGCTCTCTTTGGATTTTGTCATCCCTCTCCAAGTGAACAGCAGCTTTCCTTGAATGGGTGTCCTGGTCTAACTTGGAATATTAAAATAATTGGCTTAAGTGTGATGACAACAGCACTGAGTATTGATTTAGCAGTAATACCTGCTCATACTTCCATACATTTCTCCTTTCTTTCCAGACAGCCTTATCACACTTTTCTGTTCTTTTCTCTTTCCAGCTGAAAGGAAGCCTCCACTTTTCAACATGAATGCAATGAGTGCCTTATATCACATAGCCCAGAACGATTCCCCTAGATTACAATCAAATGAATGGTAAGAGAACCATTAACAGCTGATTTTTGTTGTTTATTTCACTGAAAATGCCCTGTGACACTGCACAGTTCAAGCCTGACAATGAACATGTTGGCTGCAGTACAGTGATTTGTGGGTGTTCTCAAATCTTGTGTATGCTAGCCCAATTTTGACTTTCTGTTACTCTGGCTGTTCTACAATCTAAAAGTGTGGAGGTGTTAATTGTGAGGTGTAGCTGCTGTAGGAATTAACATACTCTCAGATGTGTTAAACCAGCCATGGCTCAGCATCAGCAAAGTTTCCAGCTGCCATAGATCCCTGTTGGCAGAAGAGTTGTTAGCATTGCTGTGCAGCTGAAATGTGGAGAAAAGGAGGAGAATGTGGAGGTAATTGGATATTTTTGTCAGTGGAGGACTCCAGAAGCCCTCAGACCTCTGTGGGCAGTGAATGCTCCCTGTGCTGCAGGCTTGTTCAGAATCTGAGCTTGGCTACAAGAACACTTGGTTATTCTGTGGGTTCCCTGTACCCAGGACTGGAATGGTGCTGTTGGGTGATGCTTGGCAGGGTCTGGAAACAAAAGCTCCTGGTGAGGTGTGGAGTCCCCCCATTTCTCTGCTGGGCATTTGAGCAGCACAACTGTTCCACTGCTGACCACTGTGTCAATACCACTCCAGTTTCCTTGTTTCATCCTCTCTGTTTTGCCCATTTTTCAAGGTTCCAGGAGCTTGCTCTGCTGCCTGCAGCGTGGTCCCCACGTTCTGTGCAGGGTTGGCAGAGCAGAGACAGCTGTGGATGAACACAGCACCACATCAGTGCTCTGGGCTGCAAGCACTTGTTCGCAGTGCCCTGTTTGCTCTCTGGAGTCACCAAGGTGCCTTTTGTGCTCCTTTTGAGTCCAGTGGCACAAAAAAAAACCAGTTTCCTTCTTTCCAGCTGGGCTAAAACTTCGATTAAAGCCTCAAGTGTTGGGCTGAGCATTGAGGCAGGGTTCCCTCTGTAACCACCCTGAGACCAGTGAGTGCATTTCTGGAGTTCCCAATAATGCTACAGTCCCTTGTTTTTAAGCAGTTGAAGTAAAATAAAAAATAGTGACTGGTACACATAGTTCTCACTTGGTTTTCAGTTTGTGCTTGGGGATAGTTGCGTGTCCATGTTGTTTCAACAACCTTTAACTGGGAAAGAATTTATGAGATCAACTGGGAATTTGCAAAAACCCAGTGACTTCCTCTGCCTTGTTCTAAGAACAAATTAGTCAACATTTTTCTTTTGCTTTGCACTGATAAGTTTGATTATATTCCAAATTGTGAGCTTCTTTTTTTAATTTAGATTTTTTTTTCTTTTTTTTNTTTTTTTTTTTTTTCATTTTTTGATTTTGCAGGTCAGACTCCTTTAGGGGATTTGTTGATTACTGCTTACAGAAAATACCTCAGGAAAGGCCATCATCAACAGATTTGTTACGGGTAATTTATCAAATCTTTTCCAGAAATCTGTGGGGAAATCTGTTTGTCTACCAAAATAATTGTAAAAATGGTGAACAAATATTTGCCCTTACAAAAATCCACTGTTTTTTTCTGGGTTTTTTTGTTTTGTTTTGTTTTTTTTCCCTCCATTCATACATCACACTTAGCAGTTAAAAATAGCATTAAGGGGATAGGCCAAGGCTTTCCTCCCCTAATCGAACCACCAGACCCAAAAGTTGTTTAAATCCCTTTAATGGTTTCCATACTGAACCCAATTAATTAAACTAGTTTTGGAAATAACTGGATCATTTTGGAAGGGGTTTTTACAGGTCTCTAATTGCCCAGAGCCTGCAGGAGGGGGACCTGGGAGTGGTGTGTGCAGAGTTTGCCAAGGTTTTGTCAGTGAATCATGAATCAGTTCCAGTTTAAGCCATTTGGGTTCAGTTTACCTGGGACATAGAGGAACTGTTCACAGCTCCAAGGGCTTTGCTTTTGGGAAATTCAGGAGCAGCCTTCCATTAGAAGGTAGGGGGATGTGAAATCCTCTCCAGCCCCTTTTCCATCAGGCTTTGGCTTTTCTTTTAAGTATTTCCTTTCTTTAAAGTTGATTATTAGCCCTGCTCTCCCTCTGGCTGCTGGTGCCAGTGACCTCTCCAGGTAAATGATGAAGGAGCTGTTTGTGCTCCCTTTGGCACCTGGTATATATTTTTATTTCCTGTGGTACGTTTGTGCTGTGGCAAATAATCAGTGTTTTGTTCCCTGGTACTACTTGTTGCACCCTGACCAGCTAATAGGTTTAAGATGTGAGTTTTGGAATGATTCATTCCTGGGGATTGGCAGCCTTGCTGCTCTCTAGGAACAGGCTGAGCTCATTGAAGGATGTGATTTCAGGAGTACCTCAGGTTGGAGTCTGTACAAACAATTAGAGCTGAGATCTGAGTGTGATATCCTGTATATTTCGTGGTTTATTTTTATATTTTATTTACATTTTTGTCTGCCCTACACTTTTCATGTGGTCACATTTTAATATTTGAGTGCACACATAGAATGGATTTAGGTTCAGGATCGTGGTTCCAAATGCTTTGCTGCTTTCTAAAAATGATCTACAATGAGATAAAAATGGGTTCCTTTTTTCCTAATCATAAATAAGCTGCAGATTGTTACTGTTCACAGAGAAATAAATGGTGGTTATCTGCATAGAGGAGCAGAAATGATTCATTTTGTTTCTGTGTGAAATTATGTTAAGAACTTTTAGCTCTGATTCAAAAATAAACACCATCACTACAAGCAAAATTGGGTACTAAAATGACTGACTGTCCCCAGGAGCAAAACTCAAATGCACAACAGTTTGAATTCAATTAAAAACGAGAAATCAGCTTGTGGCATGATACTTTCTTTGTTTATTTACAAATCATTAAAAGATGGTTAGCTCATCCTTTCAGCTCTCCTGTTGAAGGCTCCTGTTTTAGGGCAGGCTGGGGCTGCATGAGCTGCTCACTCCAGCTCCAGGGGTGAGTTCACCCCTGAGCTGGGAGGCCGAGCAGGCAGAGGGAACCCTCCTGAGAATTTCCCTGCAGGTGGAGGCTCTTACAAAAGCCCCTTGTGGCATTTGCAATGTGCAGTAGAGAACAACACTATTTCACCCCTTTTTTTTTTTTTTTCCATTGCCAATTTTTCTGTTTTCACTATTTTTCTGTTTTTCTACAAGCATGCAGAAGATGTTTGTGCCCTAAAGCCATTCCTCTTGGGAACTACTAAGCAACACACCCAACTGTAGGGATCCCATTAAAGTATTGCCAAGTGTACACTCAGGTTGTCTGCTTTAGCCAAGGTTAAATGGGAAAGCTGGAGAGTTTTATATCTACTGCCAGCTGTACAGTGCAGGAGAATGTATCTGATAAATCAGAGAAGAGGCTTTAATCATATTCCTGAATACCATTAAAGAATTTATTAAGTCTGCACTTAAAACCTGTGCAGGAGTTGGCAAGAGCCTGATTTGATTTCAACTCTGGCTACAAAATCTTTAGGTATAAATAAACTTTGTGGTCTCCTTGCTGATTTTATGTGGAAATTGGAATAGATGGATGCAGGATAAATCTTTGCAGGTTGATTCTTCTTTGTTCTGGATCCATTTTGTTCATTCCTGTGCCTCCAAGGTTTGAAGTGTCACCTTGTGTGTTTTGAGTGAAGCCACTCAGGAAGAGACAAATCATCTGTGTAGCCTGGAGAGCTCAGTAAACCTGACCCCAGCACAAGCTCAGTGTGTTTGGAGCCTTTGAGAAAGGGTGTTAGCAGTTATTGAGTAGGAACAGATAAATTGCAGGATGGGAGGTGTCACTTCAGGGGTCTGTCCCTGGTTTAACCCAAGTCTGCAGTGAGGTGTTTTATCTCCTCTTGAACCCAGCACGATTTTGTCCGCCGGGAGCGACCGCCCAGGGTGCTGCTAGACCTGATCCAGAGGACCAAGGATGCAGTGAGGGAGCTGGACAACCTGCAGTACCGCAAAATGAAGAAAATCCTCTTCCAGGAGACACGCAACGGCCCCCTCAACGAGTCCCAGGAGGAGGAGGAGGTACTCGGGGTTTCTCCCCCCATTCACACTCTTACCTGTGGTATTAGGGCCAGGGAGATGTTCCTGTCCTTAGGCTGGCACAGCCTAGGTGAGAAATGTTGTTGGAATATCATCTGGATCAGCAGAGAGACAGGAGAGGATAATGAGTGAGAGTAATCCTTGCTCGGTGTTAAAGCTGCCAATTACTGTACATGTGGAACTTTGGATTTTTTCCAGTGCTGCCCTTTCTTCTGGAAGCCTTAGGGAAGGAACTCATTCTGAGGGAGATTCTCTGTGAGAAGTGGCTCCCAGCCTGTGTGGAGGAGGGTCTTTGACAGCCCAGGCTTTTCTTTCTCATCTGCACAGTCAAAACAACTCCATTAATGTTAATATTTTTTCAATTACCATAACTTTACTGTAAAGTAATTGGCCTCTCATGAGCTGAAAAGCAATTCACCAAATTAGTAAGACTTATTTTTTTTAAATTCTTTAACATTAAAGAAGAAAAAGGTTAAAGACCTAAAATGCAGCTTCAGTTTAAATCTTGTAATAAACAACCCACTTAATCAGTGTATGATAATTGACCCTAACTGTAGCTGAGAGAAGGAAACCAGTCATTTTTCAATTGATGAGCTTAGATGGAAATTAATATCGCTTGGTGCAGGCACAATGCATAAATAAATCCATGACTGCTTCTCAATGAAAAACAGTGACAGACAAATTGATGTCTGTGTTCCTTTGCTCCAGTGGAGTGAGGCAATAACACACAGCGAGGTGCCTAAGCTCAGAGGATCTTCAGGGGCTTGGGTTTGAGGTTTGGAGGTGTCAAATGCTCCTTGAAAGCTAAACTGGTTGAAGAAATGGGCACGTGGGTCTCGGGTGGAGCTGCAGGAGGAGGGGACTGGCACTTTGTGAAGATGCCCCAAAGGAGCAAGAGCAGCAACTGCTGTGATTGAAGGTCCCCTCCAGCTTCCAGACCTGGAGCTTAGCTGGGGACTGGGGGATTGTCAGATTTGTGCACTGCAACTCCCAGTTTCTCTCCCCACATGTGGCAGGCTGTCAGCAGAGTGCCAGGGAATGGTTTCCCACTTGGCTGTTGAGCACTTCCAAGCTCAGCAGGAAACACGTGGTGGTATTTGGCTCCAAGGTGTGGCTTCTGTTCCTCCTGTCCCCACTCCTGAAGAGAGCAGGGAGAGGAGCTGTTGTACCTGCGGGGAGGGCAGGGCTGACACTCTGCATGTGCACAGCATGCTCTGCACTGACCCCTGAGCCCTGTCCCAGCACAGGAGGTGTCACTGCTCGTGTGTGTCACTAACTGGGCAGGGAGGGCAGACCCAGCACTGCCTGCCCCGCTGGAAATGCCTCCAGGCACTTCCTCCTTCTACCCTGGGCTTTCTAAGGTGGAAGATGAGCCTTAACAATCTTTAACGTGCAAAATATTACTAATGCTTTCCTCAGAGCCCTCCCAGGAAGGTGAGAGTTGAAGTCAGGAAGCCAGGGCTAAGGTTACATATCTCATCTCTGTCCTTCCTGCATAAACATTCATCAGTGACACAGCCTCAGAGCCTTCATTATGTGATTTCTTCTGCAGCTCTACATAAGCATCCTGAAAATATTTTCATTCCCCTGTGCCTATATTCTCTGTAAAATAGTATTATTCTGGATTTTAAGTGCTCTCACACAGGCTCTGAATGATCTGCTGATTGCTTAAAAAATAATCACACAATCAAAGGCAAATCTGTCAAGACTCAATTTTATCTTTCCGTCAGTCTCCAACAAAATGAGTTCCCCATTAATTGATTTGTAATGGAATTCTCCCCAAGCTCCCTTCAGAGGTCAGGGCAAACTGGATGCAGTTTGAGAGCAGGCTGCTCATTTTAGTGAGTCAGGGCTGCTTCACCCCAGGAGCTGAAGGATGTTCAGAGCTCTGTCCTCACTGTGAGCTCCTTACGAGCCTCTTTGGTGCTACTAGTTAATTACAAAGGACTCCATAAATTCTCTAAATCAGTCCAGAATAAATGCATACTCTGGCATTACTGTATGCCTATGGGTATGGAAGAAGAAAAAAGGCTGCTAACTCCTGATATTTGTCTGTAGAATCAAAAATACCTCTTATATGAGGAATCTTAATTTATGTATATCCAAGTTTTAACCCCTATAATAATGCAGGCTGGTCTGAGTCAGCTGCTAAAAGTCTTCACTCATCTTTATCTTGGCTGTAAAAACAAGGTTCAAGGGGTTTCTAGCTTGATAAAATCAAGTTGCTGACTGCTTGGGACATGGAGGTTAAAACCTCTACACCATGTAGAATATATCAAATAATAAATGGATTAATTGTCTTAAATATTTTCTGATTCAGGAAGTGTATTATAGCAGAGCCCGACTTGAAGCATTGTTTTAATTCAAACTTGGATAATTACTCTTAATTATGGGGCTCCTTCCACCAGCCATCCAGTATTCCTGGATATGTCCTATCAAGCCAAGAGCCATGCCCAGACTTAAGGATATGTGGAGAAAAACTGGCTTGAAACCTGATGTAATCAGATTGCAGGAGAAAAGGCAGAAGCTGCCTGCCTGATACGGAGCATTCCAGAACCCAAACAGCCCTTTGAGATGAGCAGTTGGCAAAATAATGCCCAAAGACCCTTGAAGTCTGCAGAGTCACCTTTAAAACAAACTCTGGGCGTTGCAGGCACGTGCTGGGCAGGTGATCTCCTGCAGGATCTGTAACTGATGCCCCTTGTTTTATAGGACAGTGAGCATGGATCAAACCTGAGTAGGAAGATGGACAGTCTGGGCAGCAACCATTCCATCCCCAGCATGTCTGTGAGCACAGGCAGCCAGAGCAGCAGTGTGAGCAGCATGCAGGAGGTCCTGGATGAGAGCAGCCCTGAGCTGGTCATGATGCATAGTGACGAGAGCACCATTAATTCCACCTCCTCCGTTGTTCACAAGAAGGTACGTGTGCCCTGCTGCTCTGTGCTGAGAGCAGGAGCTGCTGCTGGGCTTGCCAGAGTCAAGTTCTGCGGGGATTTTGTCTTTAAGAGCATCTAAAGAACCTCTGTCCATGAAAAGAGGTTGCTGCTCAAGGAGCTGTCAGTGCCTAGGCAGGGTCACCCGGGCTCCCCGCATGCCCAGCCCCGCATGTGCACCTCTCCCTCTGCTTGGGACATCCTTGTTTCCCTGGGAATGCCTGTCCTGTGCTCTGTCTTGGTCCTGGCAGCCAAGCTAACCCTCTGCCAGGCACAGTGTGTGATTAAACCTGCCTGCACTTGGATTTCCCTTGTGAGGAGTGGAAGTGTGCAGAACTTTGGACCCTTCCCACGAGGTACGTTTGGAGTCGAGAACCACTCGATGCTTTCCTGCTCCTTTGCTGCATGCTGTGATCTGATGCCTTTCCTTTTCCTAGGGCTGCATATCAAGCTAAGGTTGTCTAGCTGTAAGCCAACATCTCATCTCCACTGTTTGTCTGACTAAAATAGTTTTGGCTTGGCCTTAGCAGCGTCATTTGCTAGTGGGCAGCAAAATGTAGGTTGGTTGTGTTGGTTTCATTTACAAGGAACTTCAAAGTATACATTTGCTTTTTGCCAGAGGAGCTAAAACACCACAGCAGCATGAAAAGTATTAATTTCTTGTTTGTAAGGTTACAGTAAGGCTTGGTTGTAACTAAATATTTGTAAGCAGTTTTTCCTCCTGAAGTGCAGGGTTTGTGTCATTGAATATTAAGAGCTATTGAAACATCTTGTCTTCAACAGAACATGGTCTTACATATTTAAAGATACTGGCAGAGAAGTTGCAAAGGTTTTAGGGGTTTGCCTCTTTCCTAAAAACACTTTTCAGCATCTTTAGAGAAGTTTGTTCAGAAAGGTGAAAACAAGGTGTTAGGTACCAAATGCCAGCCCATGGAACTGTCCTGAATGAAGAGCAGCACCACTGATGGATGTTCTGGGTGGTTATGATTGGAGCTCTTTCTTATTTTATGTAGGCTTTCAGAACGTGTGTTAGCTTTAATTTCACATTGTTACATAGCCATATTTACTCGTGCATTAAAGTGGAAGTTGGAGGGACTGATTTGCACAGAATTCATAGTTTATAATCGCTGCTCAGAGTTGTTACATTTGATAAAATCAAAACATCAGCTGCTCCCACCAGACGTAAATGGCATTTGTGAAATGAGTAGAGTTCCTTCTTGTTTTAAGACTAATATTATGTTTTATAATGGTTATATGACACCTGTAAGGTATAAATACAGGATTTCTGATGCTGTAAATTCAGTCCTCCTAGACTTGTGTGTGGGATGCACAAACAGGACACCACATGGAAGTTTTTATCTGGTTTGAAAAAAAACCAGGGCATCTTGCACACTTGTAACTGAAGTATTATAAAAGAAATCACCTCTAGATCAGTTAACACAGGTGTTTTAGGGTAATTTTGGGAGCAGAAAGCCCATGTCTGCACTGATGGTCTTCCCAAAACAGTTAATGATTGGCTAGGACTGCTGATCCTTGGAGTAGATTCCTTCTCCATTGGAAAATGTTCCCTTCTGCTGTATGTTATTCATAAAGCAGATTTGGACTCTGCATAGCAGGACGTATTCCAGTCTGCAAATGTATTGTTTTAATTTAATACCCAATTTTTTTATTCTCTGTTACTTTGCAATTTTAAATGGAAAACTACTTCATGTGTGTATTAATACATGTGAAGAGACTAAAACTGGAGCTGGACATTTCAGGGGGGTTTATGTCCATATACATCCACTTTATTTTAAAGGTAAAGTTCCTAGTTCTGCCAAGATTTCAGTTTGTCTTTGTGCTTTAATTGCATTTCTGGAAACTGGGATGAAGCTGAGTTTTGGGTATCACTCTGGAGCCCCTCACAAATACAGTGGGAATAACCTGGGGTTCAAGTTTAATTTAAGCTCTTGTTTCATATTTAATCAGCCTTTAAAGGCCAAAAATAAAATATTGATGAACATAAGCAGCATTTTGTGGGTACAGGGTCACATACGAGATGGTTTTGACATGGGTGAAGTCAAGTGTTGTATAAAATTGTGGTGTTCCACAAATGTGTTAATGAACAACCTCCAGCTTGTGGAAAGGGTCCAAGAAGGCAGAATGGCTCGGAGTGCTGACATTTTCTATGGCTCAAAGCTCTAAAAAGTCAGAGGCCTGTTGGTATTTTGGGCCACAGCCCCAGAATGTCACATGCAAGGAAAATGTAGGTGGAGGAGTCTGTGGTGGTGTTGCTGCAGTTCCCAGTGCTGGCAGCTGCTGCCTGCTGTGGACAGCCAGGCTGGGGTGGCCTGGAGGAAAGCAGGAGCAGCCCATCCCTGAGTGCTGCTGGCTGGGAGAAGCCTCCTGGCATCTCTCCTGTGACCTCCCCTGAGGCAGAGGCTTAGGGAAGAGGCTGATGGAGTAAAAGCACTTGTAAACAACTCATTTTCTTTCTGTTTTTTTAACAGCTGCTAGTTGGCTGTAACTTCCAAAAATGTTTTGTGGTCACGGGGTAAGTGAAATGACCTGTTCTGATCTGGTTAATTGTCACTGGCTATGCTAGTTCATGGCAGCCAAGGTGCTTGGGGTTTGCTGCACTTGGGATGAATCCTCTGTGGAAAACAACCCCTTCCACGGCACAGCAGAGCTCCATGGTTTTCAGCTTGTGCTTAGAACAAAGGTGACTCCCACCTGTCAGAGGACAACTGTTAGGCTGGAAGAAAAATCACCAGACAGGAATAAAATATTGAAAATAATAACAAGCCATAATTGAATGTGGAGCTTTTCGTGTTATTCAATTTATAGCTGTGTCCTGAACTCCTGTGAGGAAAAAAAATGGCAATCAGTGAGCTACTCAGGCAGGAAGCCCATCCTTGGGATCAAACCCTGCTCCCTCGGGAGGACACCTCAATCACCAGCATATTCTTTTCAGGAAATTCAGATGTCTGGCTTGGATGAGGAAGTTTTCCTTGCCCTTTTTCAGGTTGGTGAGCTCCTCCATGTCCATCTCAGTATGTCCAGTGTAAGAACTCGTTTCTGAATTAAATAACTCTGCTACTCCATGCAAGGGTCATCTTACCTGTGGATACACATTGTCACATCCATCTCCCTTTAGGAGTTGTTCAGCTGCACAGGTTGAGAGCTGAGGAGTAGGTGACAGCTCTGATACAAACCCAATTGTGTCTGAGAGCCCCAAAAAATGACAAAATGGGGCAGGGAGTAAAATCCAAATACACTGTGCTTCAAAGACACATAAACCAGATTTGAAAGTCAGATAAATATCAGTTAATTAATCTTAAAAATGAGGATAAAGATTTTTGGCTCCCAGAGTAAGACAATGAAGTGGGTATAGGCATCAGCTGGTGCATCAGAGATGTTTTGTCATCTGTTTAGTTCAGCTGCTGGTAAATGGCAGTGTTGGCACAGGTGGCTTCCCAGAAATATTATTTCATTGTCCTCAATGAATTTATTATTTTTTATTTCTGCAAAACTATAATAATAAGGTGTTGTAATCTTTTAATCTAAACAAAAAGCCAGTACAATATTGGGTTTTTTTCAGCTGCAGTACTCGGCTGTTGCTGTTTCTTGCTCCAGTTTTAAAATCATCAGCGCTTTCTGAAACTTGGGCAGTAAAATGTCAATAAAATGGAAAACTTGTGGTTAAGATCTGATTTATAACAAAAAGATGGAAAAGAGGATCTTCGTAGTTGATCATCACAAATTCTCGCCCTATGTTTGTAATAATAAAATACTGCTGCAACTTGAGTGACTTCCCAGATCCTGTAAATTAACCTGTGCACATCTCCTGTTGCTGCTCCAAATTATTTCAGCATTTGTGGGGAATTTTGTGCATGGGGAGAGCTTAAACCTCCCTGTTGATTACTGAGGCACTTAAAGCAGTGTATTAAGACAAATGGTGCCACTCTGTTGTTTTCCTTGCTCTTTAAAATTCTTAGAAAGCAGGGAATTGCTGCAATTCCATGGAATTTAGTGGGGCTTGGAAATTGCCTTTCCTGTTTGTGTAGGAGACTGGCAGCCCTTGCAGTTAATGAGTCCTCCTTTGTCTCTGGAGCTTTTATTTGGTGTGCATAGCAAAAAAAAAAAAATAGTGTGAAAGGGAATGTTCCTCCTGAGGAGAAGGTGGAGGTGTCCCAGCTTTGGTTTGGGCAGGATGGTAAAGGCTTTTATTCAGTGAGGAGAAGGATGAAAAGAGAGTGTGTGCTAGAGCTGGGGTGGGACTCGGAGCAAAATCCACTGTGTGCTGGATTTTGAGCTCGTGGTTTGGCACAAACTCACTGTGAGGTGCTCAGAAGTTCACCAGGAGCAGCCACTCAGATCCAGCTGGGAGCACCCCTGGAAACTCCACCAGCTCTGCTCAGGTAATGCTGTGGGGATATTTGAGAAAGGTTTTGTCCTGGCAATGTCCCAGCCAAATCCCCTCCTTTGTTTTGATCAACCTGAAAGCTGTTTATGTGGATGATACAGTCAGAAGAACAAATTATTCCTTGAGTAGGAAGTTGAAGATTCTGGATCGTTGGCCCCGAATAAAAGGATTTTAATGAGTGAGTTGTGAGCTGAGCATGCCTAAAGTTGCATCCTTAAGGTAGTTATTGCAAAAAAACCACAGAAAACAGGTGGAAAATTAAATGTATATAGAAGATGCATTACTTTAAAAGCAAACCAGGGTTGGAAATGCAGATCTGGGGCTGAGAGGTACCCTGACCCAAACTTGTTGAGTTTCTGGGATGCCTTCAGTCAGATTTTTTTTATTGGCTGCCTTCTGCTGAGGTGCCAGTTTTGTGGCTTTATTTCCCACACATCTGAAGCTAAAAGTTGGAAACAAAATTTCCTTATCTGTGCCAACAGTTACAACTGCAGTGTCTCTTAGCAAGTTTTTGGGAGAAGAAGAATTCTATTTTAAAATAAAAGTAGCAGAATTATATTTTGCTGGGTTTGTAGGGAGATGTTTGTCTTTGCCATCAGTCACCTCATTTGAGGAAGGCTGGTGGAGATGTGGCTACTCATAGATTTATTTCTCTTACCAGCTGACTTTTTTTGTCCCCTTGAAATTGGTCTTTTGGCTTGCTCAGTTGCAAAGGAATTTTCCCATTCCTTGCCCAACTGAGTTTGAAATGCAGAATGTGGTTAATTCACATTCCTGAAGGGCAATTTAATTCTGCTCTGAGCTTCTCCTGTGCACTGAGGTAACCAGAGATCCCATAAAACAAGGCCAGGGTGACACTCTGCCTTCTAAAAATCCACCTCTTGGATAACAAAAAGTAAATCACAGATTAATTTTCCAGCAGAAAAAGCAATTGCAACTTAAACTTGTTATTTTAGGTGGTGTTTTGGAGCATTCTGGAAAGTCTGAATGCCCACTTAAAAAGTTGGGGGTTCTTTTTCAGTGATTTGCAGCTTCTCTGGATTTAATATTTGCCATACCAATTTAATGGAGAGAAGGAGGATGATCCAGGGGTTGGGAAATTGCTTAGCAGGGATTGGGAACGCTGTGCACTCACAAGTGCTGCTGCAGGTCACACAGATGTGTGACCAGGGGTGACATTTGTCCTGTCCCCACCTTCACTTCATGGCTGGAGTACAGCACAGGTGGCTCCTGTGTGCTGCTGTTTCCTCTGTGGTTCAGGGGGGTGAGTTTGGGGTAGATCTTCACTACAGGGTTTGGGATCCCTCTGGTGAGGCCGAGAGATTAAACTGAGTGATGCTGTTTAAATGTTTAATCAGGATCTTCTGGGGATGGCTGTTCTAGAGCCTCAGATGTGCCTTTCTCAGGAATGTGGGCAAGTCCAAGAGCTCTGCCCACAGCACCAACGTGCACAAGTTGGAAGTCTGAGATCAGCCCAACTTTCAGTGATTTCTCTCATGGTGTCACTGCCTTTCCTGTCAGACAGTGCCACAAATGCCCAGTATAAGGTTGTCCAATATAAAATGAAACTGCAACTTTTTATGACTCTCCATATCTCTGTGGAGGACTGTCCTTTTTAGCTGTTTTGGCTCATTCTGTGTCCCTTGTGTGGGTGTGGAGGAGACTTGGCTCTGTGGTGGCCTTGGACATTGTGCAAAGGCAAGGAAAAGGTGAGCATGGACTAGGAATGCTCAAAAGGAAGGATAAGGAAAGGTGTGGGGGTTAAAGCACTTTCAATCAATGTGGTGTTCAGTTCTTAATATCATCATTTCTGCACCTAATTGGCTTTTGCTTGAACTCATTTCCACAATCCTATTGAAAAGGGCTGAGTGCAGGTGGCTGTGGGTGAGAAGCAGCTGGAAATTGAGGCCAGCAGAGGGAAAAACCAGGTGTCTGTGGGGTGGGAAAGGAGCATGGGGATGACAGCAGTGTCCTGATGGAGACACCTTTCCATGGTGGCTGCTCTCTCCCTGTGGGGCTCTCTGACCTTCCTGGTGTCCACTGGGGCATGGCAAGGTGCCAGAGCTGCTCCTGCTCATGGAGGCAGCTCTTCCCTGCAAGGGCTTCCTAGGCACTGGCAGCCTTTATTTTGCACCCCAAAGAACTGGAAACTTGATTGAATTCAGGAAGCATCTGTCTTCCTGTGAGGCTTTAGGAGCTGGAGGTTGAGGATGGGAGTCATGCCACCGGTGGGTGCCAGTGTGGCCCCGCAGGGTGTGCCGGGTGTCCAAAGGCTGCTCCATCCCCACGGTGCAGCCTGCAGGTGTGCTGACTTTGGCAGTCGCCATTCCCATTGGGAAAATTGTGGTGGTGTTGGGTTTTTTTTTTTTCCCATTGGGAAAATTGTGGTGGTGTTGGGTTTTTTTTTTTTGCTGGCCTTTGTGAGGAGGGTTTTTCCTGGAG